GTGAGGTGATGCAGCCATCCTCCATTTTTGCATAACACTGATTTTCCCTCTATGAACCTGGTCTTTGGAACTTAATCATGTCAGTAAGTAAGGAGTGGGTATATATGGTTCAAATTGAACATTAGGTTAAATCACTAGTCTCGCTTGTCACTGAAATGACTATCACACGTTTCCCTGTGTTGACTGCATCATATGTAAAACATAAATATGGAAGGAAGCAGAACAAACAGACACAAGAAACTTGGAAAGACAGTCAAATGAGACAGCAAAAAATATGCCTGTTTCAAGACTGATGTTACTTTTAGTAGGAAGACTGAGCAGCCAATTTTTAAGCATTTGGGACTTAGTCTAAATGAAAATGAGTTTGGCCTCTTTTCTACCTTCCTACCTGTTCATAACTGTCTGTTGTTATTGCTGTTAAGTGCTGTCGAGTCGGTTCTGACTCATAGCGACCTGTTTAGGGTTTCTGAGGAGCAGCTGGTGGGTTTGAGCAACCGTCCTTGACATTCAACCCAAGCTTGCAATCTAGTGCATTATCCTGTAGCGCTACACTAGGACCCCTCATAACTGTCTACTTCATGCTACATTTCTAGAGGTACACAGAGTGCTGAATACAGTCTCAGAAACCAATAAGTAATGAGTAAAGCAAACACAGCTTTGAACTTGAAATAAGGCTTTATATAAAGAAAAACATGTGTGTGTGAATCATTTGATTTCCCTTTTTCACATTCAAATTTATTGTTTTCTAGGAATGCAAAAATAATGGTCTTATTTGCTGCTGGTTAAAAGTATATTCAACCAACTTTGTTCCTTATCTTCTTTTTACTGTAATAGAGACAAAGTTTAAGGAAACACTCTAAGGACCGTCATTGTGATATAACCAAAAACTCAACCCAATTCAGACTCAGAGCGACCCTGAAGGACAGAGTAGAACTGCTGTGTAGGGTTTCCAAGACTATAGATCTTAATGGAAACAGACTGCTGCATCCTTCTCCTATAGAGCAGCTGGTGGTTTTGAACCACTGACCTTTCAGTTTGCAGTCAAGTGCTTTAATCACTGTGCCACTGAGGAACCTTCATTTTGATACTTTTTATAATTGTTAAGTGTCTTTGCATCAGTTCCAACTCAAAGCAACCCTGTTATAGGGTTTACAAAGAGTGGCTGGTGGGTTTAAACCCCCTACCTTGTGGTTAGCAATCCAGTGCATATCCTACAACACCACACTAAATTTACATCAGCATGGACACTTTTGCTGTCCACTAATTTGCCAGCTAAATGTCTTCCTCTGTTCCCCTGTCAAGTCAACACACCCAGAAAGCCCACACTCTCTGCATCACATATTAGACTTCAAAAAGATAATGGTTTTAAGAACCGTGGGAGAAAAACTTTTTTAAATGTGCTGTGGATGAATTTGAAGCTTGGTGAAAACAATTTTCTGGGAATGTGAATTAAAGTTCTTGGTAATTGAATGAGAAGAAATTAATTATGAAGTCTGTTAAACTTGGGAAATGTGGGTAACTTACGGGAGAGCAACAAACTTTACTTTAACTGTAATTTAACTTAATGTTCAGTGAGAATACCAAGAACACACCATGGTAAGGGTGCAGAGCAATGAACTCCATCTTGACTCCCTAAAACAATGCTTAGACTGGTGGGAGGGTAGGGATGAAAAGCGTGAGCTATCACCAATGAATATTTACGGCAAAACTAGTGATGGAAATCATATTTGTCCTCTAAAAAAGATAAGAGAACCATCAAGTTTCTTTACTTTCACCTCATTTTTTAGTATCTATGGTGGTCAAATGGTATCATGTTGAACTGAATTTCTAATTAGCAGTTTTACATGTCTCCATTTCAGATTTTTTTTTTTTTTTTGGAAATAAGAGTCCTGGTGTGGCACTGTAGGTTATTCACTGGATTGCTAACTGAAAAATCAGCTGTTCAAATCCAACAACCACTCTTTGAACACCCCATAGAGGGTCACTATGAGTCGGAACAGACTCAACGGCACCTAACAACAGCAACAATCAAATTTTTAAAAATATAAAGTAAGGGCAAGAAATTTGGTTTAGTTAAGAAACTGCTCAGAGCCACAGGTAGATTTTTCACTAGAAAAATCTAAATCTATATGTTGCAACACAAACCCTGGTGACACCTCACAAAGTTAAAAGCACCACACAGAGAAATTCTCACCACACCTTTGTAATTACGTTACCTGTTTTACATCTCGGACAAGATGATGTAAGAGCATATTCGTAGGTCCTTGTCTCTATAATAAACAAAAGGAAGAATTATTCCTTTAAATTACCACGTAGTGAAGAGAGAAAATTATTTCAGCATGCACAAGCAACCCACATACTGAAATTTTCATCAACATTTTTAGCAATGAAGTTTCACCCAATTAACTAGACCTTTTCACATATAAACTATGTGCCTTAATTTATCCTACTAAACAATTCCATTTTAGAAACAAATATTTATTGAACGCTTACTGATGTTCAATCAGGCATCTAAGGAACTCATAAAATATGTAAGCCCTATACTATATTCTTAGGGTGTTTACAATCTAACAGAAGAGACTGAATACTTACACTGAAAATAATAACAATAATATGAAGATGTATGTGCTCAAAAACAGTTACAACTAATTATAGGGAGTTACAGTTCTATAGGGAGAGAACTGGGTAATCTGGAAAACAAGGCTTGAATAGGGCTTTGAATAAAGGGCAAAATTCAAAGGTAAGAAAGGGATGACAATTCAAGTCGGATACATGGTTTGAGCACCTGGTATTTTCACAATGAGTAAGTTAACCTGGTGTCAACAAAGAATTTGCTTAGGACATTTTCAGCAAGAGAATTGTAGCAGTGTCCTTAGGTATGCTTCCAACAACTCAGTAAAATTCACTTGTCCTTATTCACATCTTTGGCTTTAATTATATACATATATGTTGCTGTTGTTATGTGCCATGGAGTCGGTTCCAACTCATAGCTTCCCTGTACAGGGTTTCCAAGGCTGTAAATCTTTACAGGAACAGAAAATCTCATCTTTCTCCCAGGAACAGCTGGCAGTTTCGAACTGCTGATCTTGCGATTCGCAGCCCAATTCGTAACCACTACGCTATCAGATATGTTGTTGTTAAGTGCCGTCGAGTCGGTTCCGACTCTTCAGGCATGTTATATTAAAAAGGGAAATACAGAAATAACCATAGGGTAAAATGGAATTAATGTTTCTTCTTTGATTGGGAAGTCTATTTCTCTATAACTGTAATTATACACAAACATTCAAGGAGATGTGAAATCTTAAGCTAATTAATAGCTATACCTTCAAAGAGTTGATTAATGAAATGTTCCAATACTCACTGTATTATAGAGCTCTTCCAGTCGGGGGATGGTAAGAAAGCGATGAAGGTTCACTCCATGTTCTATTAAGAGCTTCACAAAATCTACCCGATCCATCACTAATGCATCCAACATTGCTTGTTCTAGTGAGCCAGGCTTCAAAGGGTAGAAATAAATAAGATGTAAAGAGAATTCAGAAAGTATAAATAACTGAAGGATTACATGGGTTAAATTAAAAACTACACAGAAAAAAAGAAATGTAAAATGCAATCTTACGAAGAAGGGGGAAAAAGAGAACAAAAAATTTGCTTTAAGTTATAAAAAAAAAAAAACTTAAATTAATTAAGAACCATTTCATATTCTTGGACAAGAAGACTCACTACTATAAAAATTTCAATGCTTCCCAAATTAATGGACAGGTTTAATGCACTTCTAATTAAAATCCAAGCTTTCCTTTAAAAAATGGTAAACTGACCGCAATCACCTAAATTTATTCCTACCCAAAACTCCATTAAATTATAGTGAGGGTTTTGTTTTGTTTAATTTTGTCTTTTTCAAATTGAAAAAAAAAATTTCTTTTACTTTTTATTGTGAATTTTATGAAGGTTTACAGAGCAAATCATGAGTTTTACATTCAACAAACCATACACTTTGTTTCATTTAAATGATTGCAATCTCTTCCATGGACAATCAGTTAACAATATTTACCTCTCATTCCCTTTAACTTCTACACTCTTCTCTGTATCTACCTCTACTTTCATCTTTCTTCTGCCAACCTCCCTCTTTTTGTGTACTGCCTTCCCCACTATTTGCAATATTAAAAGGGGGGGGGGACAGTCTAAATGCCCATCAATAGAAGATTGGTTAAACCAACTTTGATTCACAGACACAATGGGATACTATGCAATATTGAAGAATAGTGATGAATCTGCAAAACCCTCATAATGGATGAACCTAGAGGACATTATGCTGACTGAAATTAGTCAATCACAAAAGACCAAATATTGCATGGGATTTTTTTTTTAAGAAATTATTCCAGAGCCTGGGGGCTCAAGACCATAGTCCCAGGGGACACCATGGTCAACTGTCATAACAGAGTCCACAAAGACAATGTTCTACATCTTACTTTGGTTGAATATCATCTGGGATATTAAAAACTCATGAGCAGGTGTCTAAGGTACAGCTATTGGTCTCTTCATGCGAAGAAGAAAGAAGAGTGATGAGAATTGAAGCACTTGAAATCAATTAATCTAATGGACTAATGGAACATGTGAACATCAGTCTCCACAACTCTGATACACAATGAAGTAGAAAACCTGAATAGATCCATAACAAAAGAAGAAATTGATCAGGTCATCAAAAGACTCCCATCCAAAAAAAATCCAGGCCCAGACGGCTTCACTGGTGAATTCTACTAAACATTCAGGGAAGAGCTGTCCTAATACATTTTATGACACAAACATAACCCTCATACCAAGCCAGAGAAGGACATCAATAAGAAAGAAAATTATAGACCAATATCCCTCATGAACATAGATGCAAAAATTCTCAACAAAATCCTAGCCAACAGAATACAGCAACACATCAAAAAGATAATACATCATAATCAAGTGGGATTCATATCAGGGATGCAAGGATGGTTCAACATTAGAAAAATGATCAACGTTATCTACCATATAAATAAGAAAAAAGAAAAGAACCACATGATCATATCGATTGATGCAGAAAAAGCATTTGAAAAAATCCAACGTCCATTCCTGATAAAAACCGTCAACAAAGTAGGGATTGATGGGAAATTCCTCAACATAATTAAGAGCACATATACAAAACCAACAGCCTACATTACTCTCAATGGAGAGAAACTGAAAGGAACCAGACAAGGATGCCCTTTGTCACCACTCCTATTCAATATTGTGCTGGAAGTCTTAGCAAGAGCTATATGGCAAGACAGGAAAATTAAAGGCATCCAAATTGGCAAAGAGGAAGTAAAACTCTCTCTATCTGCTGCTGATATGATCCTATACATAGAAACCTCCAAAGACTCAGTCAAAAAGCTACTAGACCTCATAGGAAGACTCAGCAAAGTGGCAGGATATAAGATCAACATACAAAATCAGTTGGATTCCTCTATACCAAAAACAATAGCACTGAAAAGAACATTAGGAAAGCAATACCATTTACAATAGCAAAGGATGAAATATCTAAGAATAAATGTAACCAGAGAAACAAAGGACCTATACAAAGAAAACTACAAAACACTAACCAAAATAGACCTACAAAAATGGAAGAAACCAAAAGAGACCTACAAGAATGGAAGAAACCAAAAGAGACCTACAAAAATGGAAGAATGTACCATGCTCCTGGATAGGAAGACTTAACATTGTGAAAATGTCAATACTGCCTAAAGCAATTTACACATATAATGCAATCCCAATCCAAATTCAAACAACATTCTTCAAAGACATGGAAAAACCATTACAAACTTTGTATGGAAAAGAAAGAGACCCAGGATAAGCAAAGCACTGCTTAAGAAGAAGAATAAGGTTGGAGGCCTGTTACTCCCCGACTTCAAATTTTACTACACGGCTACAGTGCTCAAAACAGCTTGGTACTGGTACAATGAAAAATACATAGATCAATGGGACAGAATCCAGAATCCAGAAATTAACCCATCTACATACAGCCAATTGATTTTTGACAATACACCTAAATATATCACAATGGGAAGTTAATAGTCTCTTCAACAGATGGTGCTGGCAGAACTGGAAAGCGATATGCCAAAGACTGAAACAAGACCTTCACCTCACTCCTTATACAAAAACCAACTCAACATGGATTAATGACCTAAATGTGAATCCCAGAATTATGAAGGCCATCAATAAAAAACTAGGGACAAATATGAGGGCACTAATTTAGGGAATACACAAACTACTAAACATTTTGAAAGCTACACAAACAAAAGTAGGTAAAATAGATGAGTGGGACATACTAAAAATTAAAAACTTATGTGCATCAAAAGACTTTACGAGAAGAGTAAAAAGGGAACCCACAGAGTGGAAAAACTCTTTTGCAATGACACATCAGACAAGGGACTTATTTCTAAAATACATACGGAACTACAACACCTCTACAAGAAAAAGACAAATAATCCAATTAAAACATGGGTGCAAGACATGAATAGACACTTCACCAAGGAGGAGATCCAGGCAGCCAACAAACATATGAAGAAATGTTCACGATCACTAGTCATCATAGAGATGTAAATCAAAACAACAATAAGATATCATCTCACACCAGCAATAACAGCAAAGATCAAAAAAGTTGAGGACAATAAATGTTGGTGGGGGTGTGGAGAGACTGGGATGCTTCTGCATTGCTGGTGGAACTGCAAAATGGTCCAATCTCTCTGGAAAGCAATATGGCGCTTGCTCAGAAGGTTAGAAATAAAAATACTTATGATCCAGCAATTCTTCTACTTGGTATTTACGCACAAGAAATAAGAGCCTTAACAAGAGTAGGTATATGCACACCAATGTTCATAACAGCATTATTTACAATAGCAAAAAGATGGAGACAGTCAAACTGCCCATCAACTGAAGAATAGATAAACAAACTGTGGGACATACACACAATGGAATATTATGCTACTTTGAAGAATAACAAGGAGGCTGCAAGCCACCGCATAAACATGAATGAACCTTGAGGACATTATGTTGAGTGAAATTATTCTGTCACAAAAGGAGAAATACTGCATAGGACCACTACTGTAAAACACTAAGAAAAAGAACCCATACTAAAGGGGAACGGGATTCTTTGCTGGTTACTGGGATGTGGTAGGTGGGGTGAGGGGAGGGAGGGGAAGGTGGAGCATAGGGCAGGGAATAGACACAGGATAGTTAGGGTGCTAGGGAGGGGGCAAAATACAAGAGGGGGAAGGGGAATGGAAGAACAAAGCAGATGGGAGAACAATTAGGCAGGTTTGCATGGGCTAATTGGGACAGAGGTAAATAATGATGTATGCACAACCTTGGAACAACAGGGCTCTGGGATCCAGGGATTGAGATATGGTTGGAATGAGGAAAAGGGGGAAACTAATGTTAAGATGCTTGGTTGTCTTATGAATCTTGGTTTCCCTTGCATACCATTATAAAATAGACACTTGAGAGGGAGAGAAAGGAATAGCCAGAAATATTACCATTGAAAGCTTGTAAGTCCATCTTCTGCCTATAACTGATTGGAATAGCTAAAATGGGGCTACAATGTGCCCAGTGAAGGAGGTTTCCTGCGGAGCCTCTGCATTACATAAAACCATAGGTGGAGTCCTGAACTGCATCCAGAATCTTCAGAGGTGGGAAATTTCCATTTGAAAGGACAAGCAGACCAGCCTGGAGTGGCTAGAAGAACAGAAGATACTTCTTGAAAGAAAGACCGACAGGAAAAATACAAAACAATAACGGCAGACCGACCGATTACTGCAAGAACAAGCAAGTTGTTCGCCCAGGAGACATCAAGGCAAGTGGTCGAGTCCCCTCAGAGCAAACCCCCTTCCAAGACTAAGACTCAATGGGAATACACGCTCTGATTAGTGACCATGCTCGTCACCGATAAGGGGAAGTGAGGAAAAAACAGCAATGAATTTGCGAGCTAAGCCCTACAATGTTCAATAGACTCCTGTGAACCCGGGTGGAGACCTGGTTGGCCAGCAGTGAGGCAAGACTTAGGGACTCTTGGGACCAGAGTCAGTGACAAAGCCACAGAGGACTAGAGTGGCGAGTGACGAGTCCAGCTGATCAGAAGAGAGGGCATATGCACAACAATACCCACACCTGCAGATAATACCCACTTCAATGACTGGATGATCAGAGCTCAACTAGAAGAAGAAAGAAGAGGGAAAAAAAAGAGTAATCTGATACAATTTGATTAATTTGACCTACACCTATGGATGCAGTAGGTCAAAAGAGGGAACAAATCTTTACAGCGAGGATCATCCCCATCCCTACCATACACAAAGTAGAGAGGGATGGGCAACTTAGACATTGGCTACCCAAAGGCAAGAAGTGACTGGTTTACAAGCTTTCAAGAGGAAAGATCTAGATCTAGAGGGCATGGATTAAGGTAGAATCTCCACTGAGTAGTATCCAATCTGTCTAGGCGGGGCTGATGAAAGGAAATGAGGATAGGTCTCTTGTGATACAATACTGAATAATTGTTATCAGGACTGCTTGTGAGGGTTGGAAATGTAAAGGCAGGCGTTTTGTAGCAAGGAGAGAAGTGATTAACATTGCAGTCTAGGAGCGGAGGTCCCTAGGACCATCAAGGGAGAAGAGCAGAGAGTGGGACCCTACCCTGAGAAGCAGTGATGCCAGAGATGGAGAAGGAGAAGATGAAGTGGAGAGATGGAGCGGCTGGGGACTTTAGACCCAGAGAGGGAGAGGGGCTGTGTGCTTCAGACCGGGGGACAGGCTTGCAGGCATGCGTGATAAGGCATGGAGGGGAATGTAACCATGGCAGTAAAATGATTTAGGATAGGATGAATGTATAACTAATGTGTTCCCATGTAAATCACCACATAATTCACAATAAAACATTAAAAAAAAGACAACAAACTTTTTAAATTAAAAAGAATCAATATCTTTCAATATCTATCATTAATATCCTGAGAGATTAAAAAATAAAAAAATAAAAAGACATTATATCCAGATGCTATTTTTATCAAGAAGAAAACATAGAAAAGAAACAGGGCAGAGGGTACAGTCAGAGAACAAATTATATTTAGAAATTAATAGTTTACTACTTGGTGTGGCAGGAGTCCTGGTGAGGATCGTGGACTAATGCGTCAGAAGGCAAAGTTGTTTGAACTGCAAGGTCGATGGTTCAAGCTCACCAGCTGCTCCATGGAAACCCTATACAGGGTCGCTTTGCTTCGGAATTGACTCAGCAGCACTTAACAACAACTAAATGTGGCATTGCGGGTTAATGCGCTGGACTGCAATGATGGTTTGAGCTGCAAAGTCTGTTTGAGCTGCAAGGTCGGTGTTTCAAGTTCACCAGCTGCTCCTCGAAAACCTTACACTGGGTCGCTATGAGTTGGAACTGACTTGACGCCACTTAACAACAACACCAGAAATGAAGGGCTTCTGGTGTCCGCGGAAACCCTGAACAAGGTCGCTATGAGTCGAAGCAGAGTCAACTGCACCGAACAACAACACCAGAAATGGAAAACTCTATAGAAGGCTTGGAAATTAAAGCTGAGAAAACCTACCAAAGGAAAGATACGGAAGTTAAGAGAAGAAAGATAAGAAAATTTAAAGAACCGTTTGTCAAGTCTAATATTCAAATAAAAAATTCCAGAAAGATGAAAGAGAGAGTTTCTATTGTTAAATGCCATGGAGTTAGTTTCTACTCATAGCAGCCCTGTATAGGATTTCCAAGACTTTAAATCTTCGAGGGAGCAGAAAACCTCATCTTTCTCCATCACAGTGGCTGGTGACCTCCAGCCTCCGACCTTGTGGTTTGCAGTCCAGTGCTTATTGCATGGAGCCACTGCACTCCCAAATAAGAGAGTAGAGGAAAGCAAATTCCATAAAACTGAAAAATATGATTGCCAAAGTGAAATCATGTGCCCAGCATAATGGATACAAACAGATGCACAAAACAGATCACTGTGAAATCTCAAAACAGTGGAAAAAAGAATAGTCTAAAAAAATTCCAAAAAAAAAAAAAAAACTTCACAAACAACGGATCAGAAAATAAAAAGCAGTGCTGGACCCTGGGAACTAAGGATTTAAACTTCTAAGGGAAAATTTTTCCCAATCTTGAATAAAAATATGTTCAGACATATAATTTTTCAATTTATTGCCCAAACTTCCTTTCTCAGTAAGTTACTCAAGGATGTTCACCATCAAAATGAAGGAGTAAACCAAGAAAGAGAATGGCATGGGATAGGGAAAACAAGAGCTCTTAAATGGAAGCGGTAAAAGGAATTCACGAGACCCTAATTTTCACTATACCTTCCAATGTTGTCCGTAAATTAGAATCTGTTTCTTGGCAATGTCCATTCTGTCCCAAGCCATTGCCAGATTTAATTGTTCTGATGCTGATAAATTTGTGCCTACGGGAAAAACAAAAGACAGGAGCAGTCATTCCTGGTACCTGTCCCTGTATATCCCAACTTATACACAAGGGTGGTTCCTTAAGGTGTTTGACTCTAGTTTTTACTATATTAAAAGGTAAAGCAGCTCTGCTTTTGCTTATTGCTCCCCTCTAATAGTGTTAGGAGTACTGGTGTGGCTCTGTAGGATAATCACTGCACTGCTAACTGAAATGATTCAAACTCACAGTCGTTCCTCAGAAATCCTATACAGGGTTGCTATGAGTTGGAACTGCTTTGATGGTGCTTAACAGTGGTTTTAAGGAGTCCTGGTATGGCACTGTAGGATAAGCAGGTAGAAGTGTTAAGGTTCATAGTTCAAAACCACCAACTGCTCCTCAGAAATCCTGTACAGGGTTGCTATGAGTCAGAACTGACTCAACAGCACTTAACAACAACAATGGTTTTAAAGGAGCCTGGACTATTATATAATAAACCGCAAGGTTGGCAGTTCAACCCATCAGCACTCCAATGGAGGAAGTGAGGCTCTGAGCTCCCGTAAAGATTTACAGCCTTGGAAACCCTCTACAGGGTCACTATGAGTTGGCATCCACTCGATGGTAATGGATGAATGGCTTTAAAAGGATCCCTGGTGATAAGCATGGGACTGCAAACCGTGAGGCCAGTAGTTCAAATCCAAATCCATGAGCCATTCCACAGGAGAAACATAAGGCTGTCTACTCCTTCAAAGATTTACAGGCTCAGAAACTCTATACAGGGTGGCTATGAATCTGAACTGGATTGATGGTAGTGGGTTTAATGGTTGTGAAGACCCCAAACCTCCAAAGTGTGCAGTGGGGCTCCAGGGCACCTCTCAGTCACCACAGAACGTCTCCTCCACCTTCTCCTTCCCCTCCTCCTGGCTTCATCACCATGCAGTCATGCAGCCTCTCCTCCGTCCCCACTGCCATGGCAACTTTGGGCAACAGCACATGATCTACACCCAGAGGGCGGGCGGCACCACCGCCCACAATATTCACAGCACCCACACACCTGGTCCCCAAGGCCACCTATCTGCACCACTGCTCCCCTCTACCAGTGTTTACTCACCCTCCTCAGCCCCTCCAGGCCTGAACATGTCCAAAGTCCCTATCCAGCTGCCAACACAGCCCTTGCCTGGCTTAGCCGCACACCCAGATGGCTGGTTTCCTGTATCAGTGACTACAACTCTCCACCTGTGTCCACAGACTCCCATGTTTTCATATAATAGATTTTACAGAGATTTAAAGGAATGTGGTGTTGTAGATCAGCACTGGATGCTAGCCACAAGGTCAGTGGTTCAAGCTCACGAGCACCTCCTCAGAAATCCTATGCTGAGCCATGGTGAGCTGGAATCAACTTGACAGCATTCAACAACAACAACAACACCATGGAGATTTATCCTATGGATTGTACAGGGACTATCTATATCATAATATAGTGTCCTCACAATGTCCAAATCATGTAAGGTTCTATTTCACAGAATGTATGGTGGAGCCCTGGTGTGGCGCTGTAGGATGAGCATTGGACTGCTAAGCACAATGCCAGTGGTTCAAACCCACAGGTTTCTCTTCAGAAACCCTATACAGGGTCACTATGATTCAGAACCTATTCAATGGCATTTAACAACAGCAACAACAATATGGTGGATGTTAAGTTATGCATACCTATGTTGTTGTTGTTGTTGTTACGTGCCGTCGAGTCGGTTCCGACCCATAGCGACCCTGTATAGGGTTTCCGAGGGTGTAAATCCTTACGGGAGTAGAAAGCCTCATCTTTCTCCCGCGGAGCAGCTGGTAGTTTCGAACCGCTGACCTTTAGGTTCGCAGCCCGATTCGTAACCACTACGCTACCAGAGCTCCTTATATTCCATTCAAAATAGCCACTCAGAAACACAACTGTGCCAATGAATGTGGAAAGAGGAAGTGAGGAACAATTATAACCCTATGCAGAAACTTACCCTTCAACAGAGCTGTTAGGATTGCTAAATCTAGGTCTTGTTGGTCCTCAGAATCTGCATCAAATATTGTAATCTGTAGCAATCGAAAGACAGAACACCACACATCTTGGAAAGAAACACTTTAAAAAGTACCCACAGAATTTTCCTCTGAACTAAAGAATTCAGGAAAACATTTTTCATTAATCTCAAAAACAACTTAGAGTTAGGGGAAAAAATCATATAGAATCCCGGTATGGCACTGTAGGACAAGCACTGGACCATAAGTTTAGTTTGAACCACAAGATGGGCAGTTCAAATCCACCAGTCAGTCCTTGAAAATCCTATACAGGGTTGCTATGAGTCGGAATTGTCTTAATGGCACTTAACAAGAAGAAGATGAAGGAAGGAATCCAGGAGTCTTGGTAATGTAGAGGGTTATCTGTTGGGCTGCAAACTGCAGGGTCAGCCGTTAGAGTCCACCAGGGGCTCTGTGGGAGAAAGATGAGGCTTCCTGCTCCCATAAAGATTTACCGCTGTGGAAACCTTGGGTCACTATAAATTGGAACCGACTCAATGGTACTTAACAAGAACGTATAAGAAAAAATTTTAAATAGGGTAATAGCTAAGTATGGGTACTTGGAGGAAAAACATTTTTAAATCATGGACATGGATTCTAATATTACATTGGAATCCTGGTGTAGTACTGTAGGATAAACACTAGATTGCTAGCTGCAAGGTCAGTGGTTCAAACCCACCAGTCACTCCTTGGAAGCCCTATACTGGATTGCTATGAGTTGGAACTGACTTGACATCACACAACAACAAAATATTCCATTAATTTACTATGCTAACTGTAATTAACTTGCTGCGCTATAATAAAAAGATTATCAGTGTCAATTCCAAATGTAAATAAAATCCCTCCTCATTTTGAAGGCATGCCAAATGAGACCCTTCTCTCCGCCTAGCCTTAGAAACTACGACTTACACTTTTTAACGTGAAATAAATCCCCAAGGATTTGTCATAATACAAGTGAGACAATGAGCAACTACTATGGCTAGCACAGACGTTCTTTATGATACCAAAAGTGGCCCGATGTGTGACTGATTTTTTTTTTTTTTAATTTTAAAAATCACCCACTACTAATAGATCTCAGTCTTTCCCAAAGAAAATATATTTTATATAGTAGAAGGATCTGACTAACAAAAAATAAATAAATAAAAGCCAAGACTGGTAAATTCTTGTCCCAGGTATGTCTAGAGTAAATGTCTAAAAGCCACCACATGTTATGTCCACATCCACAAAATGAAGAGATTGACCTAAGAAAGCTCAACAGGCTTCTACACATTGTTTTCTTCACATAACAGTCCCTCAGGGTGTAGGAATAAACTCAATTCTCATTGTACAGGGGCTGAGAATGTGCAAAATCTGTGCTTGAATGTGCAAAACCTATGCTACCTTCTCTATTCATTCTACTAATTCTTCTCTAGACCCTATTGATTAATGACTCCTTTAATTGCTTCACTGATTATGCCATTTGATGACAAGAAAAGACAAAAAGGTGGACTCATTAATCTGCTCTTCCCTTTATTTACTGAATATTCTGGGAAATACAAAGTAAGTAAAACAAGTATGAGACTTCAGTTCTGAGCTCAAATTCTAGCATTTCTTAATTGCAAGATTCTGGACAAATTACTTAAATTCCCTGGGCTTCAACTTCAGCTTCTCGAAAACTGAAACAATCGCTGTCATATTGAATTCATGGTGCTATTTCAGGTGAAAAGGTATTATTTAAATATATCTTTTATATAAATATAAAAAAGATATCATGGAATCACTGCTCATTGTAAACATGGTTATTACTGCTATTGTTATTAGGTCAACAAAACTCCCAAATAGTTTTCACATCTGTTTAGCCACATATTCTCTAGCCTAAACTTGTACAATTGGGTTTTTGAGACTGTCGGTTGGTAGCTGTGTACCGTGGAGTCGGTTCCAACTCATATGCTGTAAATCTTTACAGGAGCAGAAAGCCTCATCTTTCTCCCACGGAATGGCTGGTAGTTTCAAACTGCTGAACTTGAGGCCACTATGTTTGTAACCACTACGCTACCAGAGTTCTTTTTTAAGGCTAGATGCTTGAATATCACCAACAATTTGATATAACTTGGTCCAGCTTTCAAATTCTAGAAAGATCACACTGAATCAGATATGCTTGATCAACAAACTTATCTAAATCACGAATAAAGAATGTTTTGATCAAGGTACCCTAAAACACCAGACACTTTCCCTTTAATCTACATTATATTTATAGCCCATAGTAACTCACATTCCCCATTGTCTAATGACCACCTTCAGGATTTACTCAGGATACTATCTAGCCCAACACACACGAGTTCACTTACCCTCTGAAAATATTTATGTGTCATTTTCATTGTATTGATCGCTTTTCTGCATCACCGCTATATTTTCTATGTGCTTTTCCCAGGTAGATCCTGGAATTTGAAGACTAGGAAGCAGGCTGTAGAAAGCCAAGTTTGCTGAACTAAGAGTTCAGTAGAATCACAATCAAGTTAAAACTGAAAACGTCCATGTTTTTAAGACATTGTGAAAATCAATGCAAACATTACAGTGGTTGGAAATCCAAATTCTTTTTAATCAGCTGAGCCATAAACTCATCGTACTTACAGAATCCCTGTGCGCCATGCACGCCATTAGAATCTGAAAGAGGTGTTTGGACTGTTTTAGACTAAAGTTAAAAGTGGTCTGAATCATGCAGATGATTTCTTCCTTCACCTGGGGACGTAGAGTCCTAGGAGAGAAAGATGGAAACAATCCAGAGATGGAAACAAGACAACATCAGTACAAGAAACCCCAACTGCTCCACTTGACTTGAGAAGGTTTCTAGGGTGTGTTTTGCTAAGAAGGCAAGTGAACAGGAAACAAAAGGAAGCAGTGGTTCTGGAGGAAGTTGAATTTCACAGTGAGAATGGAATGATCTTCCAGGACCCTAAAAAGAGGGACACTGGGACAAGGTTCTTTTATATAAGAGTCAGTTCCGACTCTTAGCTACTCTGTATAGGGTTTCCAAGGAACAGCTGTTGGATTTGAACCGCTGACCTTGTGATCCAGTGTTTATCTTACACATGTACAATTTACACATGTACAATTCACACACCTTACACATGTACAATTCAGTGACACTAATTACGTTAATTATGTTGTGTTAAACAATCACCAGTGTCTAATGCCAAAATTTCTATCTTCACAAACAGAAACTCTCTGCTCCCTAAATAAGGACTCTCCCTTCCCACTCCCTCCTGTCCCTAGTAACCACTATACATTTGTGAGACTGACAGATTGCCAGGGGGACTGTGAATCCCCAGAAGTAATGGGCATCATATTCCCCATAATGTTTAAAAAGGAATCACCTAGGGTGCTTTTAGGAAGGAAAGAGATGTGAAAAAATAAAGGGGATACAGGGGAAATGGAAGACTGAGGTCACAAAGAGGATAAAAATCAAAGGTAAGGATAACTCCCCAGAGCAGTTAAACATAAGCAGTGATTGAGTTTTTATTAAGTAAATTAGTGAGGTCTGCATCCCAATTCTTTCTTGTTGTTCCTGTTAAATACCCTTCAATTGGTCTGATTCCAAGGGTTTCCAAGGAGCAGCTGGTGGGTTTGAACTAGCCGACCTTGTGGCTCACAGTCCAGTGCTGATTCTATAGCACCACACCAGGGTTCTAATATTTATACTGTAGTGATGTGAAACTGGAAGAATCACACTGAACTAGAGATGGCTAGAGAAAGATATATCTTCTTATTTGCAAAGGGAAGATAATTAAAACTTCAAATAAGTACAACATAAGCTCTAGATGGACTGAGCAGGATATCCCACTGTTTTTAAATAATGGCAAATGAAAGTGATCTGGGGTTAATACAGTACTCTCAGTCACAGTGGGGCTGGTTCAGTTACAATGGTCAAGTGCCTCAGCACCTTCTGCCGTCCTCCCCTAGAAATGCTTCATTCATCTAGTTAAGTCAGGGTTCTGGCTTCAACAGATTGTTCTTTCACTAAGGAAGGAGCAACTTTCTTCATTACAGGGCACTGTGGTGTTGATGAACAAATACAAAAATCACTGAAAAATAAATTCCAGTCTCAACCTCTGAACTACCAAGATTACTGTTGTTAGCGACCCTACGTAAAGTAAAACGAAACAGTATTTGGTCCTACACTATCCTCACAGTCAATCTTATGTTTAAACCCATTGTTGCAGAAACTGGGTCAAACCATCTCATTGAGAGTCTGATCTTTTTTTGGCTGACCCTCTACTTTAATAAGCATGATGATTTTCTCCAGGACTGGTTCCTCCTGATGATATGTCCAAAGTACATCAGAGGAAGTCTCACCACACTGGCTTCTACGGAGCATTCTGGCTTTACTTCTTCCAAGACAGTTTTGTTCATTCCTCTGATGGTCCATGGTATACTTAATATTCTTTGCCAACAGTATAATTCCGAGACATCAATTCTTCAGTCTTCCTTACTCATTGTCCAACTTTCATATGCATATAAGGTGATTGAAAAGACCATAGCTTGGGTCTAAGCCTTCAAAGTGACATCTTTGCTTTTTTAACACTTTATAAAGAGGTTTTTTGTAGCAGATTTACCCAGGGAAATAGGTTATTTGATTTCGTGATTAATATTAAAGACGTTTTACTACCAGTATACTATATCCATAAAAATGCATGGCTTAAGGAATTAAAATAGAGGAATAAATGTTGTTATGAAGTGTCATTGAGGCGGTTCTGACTCATAGCAACCCTGTATAGGGTTACCAAGGAGCGGCTGGTAGTTTGAACCTCTGACCCTGTGGTTCAACCAGCCTTGTGGTCCAGCGCTTTATCACACAGCACCACAATAGTACCATGATTTCAAAAATGAGAAGCAATAACTCACCCTTCATCCGCTAAGTGTTTGTGAGTGAAGGCCAAGAGGTCAGCAGCTCGGCCAGTACCTTCACACACCACCACAGGGTCATTGTCCTTCACGGTCTCCCAGACTGACAGGATCACATTGGGACCTCCTTCCACCACCAGACCCACCACAGGCACTCCTTGTCTTGTACCTGTTTCGGATCATGGAACAATATCACAGTGTTACTCAGACTGCCTACGTCAGCCACTCATGGATTTTCCAGACACAAGTTTTTCAATTACCAAATGTTCATTACTTGCCCTGGTAGAATAAGCACTGGGCTGCTAACCACAAGGTTGGCAGTTCAAAACCACCTGTCACTCTGTAGGAGGAAGATGAGGCTTTCTGCTCCCATAAAAATCTACAGCCTAAGAAACCCCATACAGGGTCACTATGAGTCGGAACCAACTCAATGGTACCCAGCAATAACAATAACAGCATTATTTGCCTCAGCACCTTCTCTGACTTTACTCAGGCTTCCTTACTTTAAGACCAAGGAAGGAGCTTGAACTTCAAATAAAATGTTGGACAAATATGGTGAAAGCATCTTTAAGTTTTCACTTAATAGAAAGACAGTTACAAGCTTTCAGTCCATTTCAAAATATAAGTACTAGTTGTTGCCATGCCGCTTCTGACTCATGGCAACCCCACGTGCTCAGAGTAGAACTGGTAGAACTGTGTTGCACAGAGTTGTCAGTGCCTGTGATCTTTTGGAAGTTAATCACCAGGCCTTTCTTCAGAGTCGCTTCTGGGTGGATTTGAACTGCCAATCTTTTGTGGTTAGTAGCCAGAGACTTAACTATTTACACCACTCAGGGACTCCAAAACATACGTTGTTGTTTTTAAGTACCGTTGAGTCAGTTCTGACCCATAGCGACCCTGTGTAAAGTTTTCAAAGAGCGACTGGTGAGCTTGAACCACTGACCTCGTAGTTCAAACGGCTTTGCAGTCTGGCTCTGTACATCATAAAGAAATTTTAACTTTTCATTATGGAAATTTTCAAGTACATCTAAAAGCAAACAGAATGAGAAAATGGATAGCCAAGCATCCATCACTCATAAGCAAAGCAGATCAACCTTTTGCCAATTCTCCTTAGACTGTAAATCTTCAGGAGCAGACAAGCCTCATTTTTTCCTGCGGTTTAAACCCCCATCCTTGTTGGTAGCTGCCCAATGTTTAACACACTGAGTCACGAGGACTCCTTCATTAAACTTTGTTGTTGTTCCTGTGTGTGCCTTCAAGTCAGTTCCAACTCATAGTGATCCTGCATAGTGTTTCCTTCTGAGGTGTAGGAACAAGAAGAGATGAGCAACCCTCAAAGGCTTTGACTTTTTCCTCTCTTCCATTCTTCACCATTTGCATTTCTTATTATGATTTTAATTTACTGTATTAAAGGAAGAAAGGCAAAGTACCACAGAGTCATTTCTTTTTAAAAAAAGAACACAACAGGAGCCTATATTGGTTACATTTCAAAGGTCTGAAGCCAGGGATTCCTCCTGCAGCTTTAGGAAGTGAGTCTTTTTATTTGTAAATATGCTCTGCCAACATCAAGAGTTTTCCAGGAACTCCATGAAGCCTGGTTTCCTAATAAGCCCAATATAGACTGGAAAAAAGAAAAAAAAAGGTATCTCTTGTCTGTATTTAATCTAGGCACTCTTCTTGACCACATGAAAAGAAATTAAACTATCAAGATACTTAAGTATTCTCATTCTATCAAAGTAAAGCTCTTCTGACCACTTCAGAGACAAACATAAATATGGCAGTTGTTAGTGTTGTTAAGTCGGCTCAGAATCATGGGTAGCTATGCACAAGTTAGGACGGACAAAGCATCGCTCAGCCCTGTACCACCTTCATGATCACTGCTATGTTCCGCTCCATTGCTACAGTCACTGTGTATTTCAAATGCCTTTCAACCTGGTGTTCCAGCATGTATCAGCATGATGTTGTCATAGGGTTTTCACTGCCTAATTTGTAAAAGCAAATCACTGGGCCTTTCTTCTTACTTTCTTAGTCTGGAAGCTCTATTGAAACCTGTCTGTTTTAAATATTTGAAATACCAGTGGCATAGCTCCCAGAATCATAGCAACAGTACCACAAACTGGCAGAAAGGTATTGGAACTATGATGGTGGTGGTAGTGGGTATGTGCCACAGAGTTGGTGCCGACTCATAGCAACCCTGTACAGGGTTTCCAAGGCTGTAAATCTTTACGGGAGCAGAAAGCCTCATCTTTCTCCCGCAGAACCGCTGGTAGTTTCGAACTGCTGACCTTGCAGTTAGCAGCCCAACTCGTAACCACTACGCTACCAGAGCTCCTTTGGAGCTATGATGTTGTTGTTGTTGTTGTTAAGTGCCGTCGAGTCGGTTCCGACCCATAGCAACCCTGAACAGGGTTTCCAAGGGTGTAAATCTTTACGGGAGTAGAAAGCCTCATCTTTCTCCCGTGGAGCGGCTGGTAGTTTCGAACCGCTGACTTTTAGGTTTGCAGCCCGATTCGTAACCACTACGCTACCAGAGCTCCTTGGAGCTATGATAGTAAACCTTATTGCAGCATAACAGGTAAAAGATGAGCTTTGAAACAGAAGAATTTTGCCTTTCTTGGGATTTTTATTCCCCCTCTTCTTCTTCCATCTTGTGCGCGCGCGCAAGTGTGTGCGTGTGTGTGTGTGTGTGAGCGCGCGCGTGTGTATGTGGGCGTGTAGCTGACTTACTGTTTTTACCATTTTCAAATGATATAATCAGTTCTCCTTAGAGCATTGTTACCAGTCCACTGAAATCACCTCCACATTCTTTTACTATAGATAGCAAAATCTTCCACTTAAATGCTACATTGCAGAAATGTCACCTGCTTGTTGATGCAAGCTCAGAGTTCCTTTCATTCATTTAATAAGGGAGATGGGATGGGAATAGGAGTCCTGGTGTGGCATTATAGGATATGCACTAGACTGCTAACCACAAGGTCAGAGATTCTAATCCACTAGCTGCTCCTTGAAAACCCTATACAGGGCCACTATGAGTCAGAACTGACTCAGCAACACTTAATAACAACAGTAGGAAATGAGAAAAACAGACTTTGATCCCTGGACCTTGCATTAGAGTGTTGCATAGAACCCTGAGTAATCCTATCCACATTTCAGGTAGCTTATGTTTCTGACCCCAACCTGGGTCTTCCCTGCAGAGATTCTGGCCCAGCCTGTCAGTCATTCCTCCCTCTCATCGGTAGACATCACATAACTAACTGATCCTCTCTCTTTTCCTTGATCTAATTGAGTGTCAAAACCTTCATTCACACTAAGTTCTATGTAACTAGCAACAATCCTCAGAATTCAAAGGAGGGAAAAGGAAGAGAGAGAAAGAGACATTTATTAAGGACATGCTGTGTTGTTGCTGTTAAGTGCCATCAAGTCAGTTCCGACTCACAGTGACCCTACGTAGGGTCTCTGAGGAGCAGCTGATGAGTTTGAACTGCCAACCTCGTGATTAGAAGGTCCAGTGCTTTACCTACTGTGCCACACCAGTACATTGTTGACGCTGCTGTTAAGTGCCTTCGGGTCAGATCCAACTCATAGCAACCCTGTAGAGGGTTTCCAAGGGGTGGCTGGTGAATTTGAACCACCGACCTTGTGGTCCAAAATGACCCTGCAGTCTAGTGCTTTATCCCTCAGCACCAGGACTCCACATTAGCATACACTATGTGATACACACTCTTCTAGGTATGGCGCTGTAGGATAAGCAGTGGGCTGCTAACCACAAGGTCAGCGATTCAATCCTACTAGATGTTCTTTGGGAAACCTGTATAACGGGGTGTTGTTGTAAAGTACCATGGAGTCGGTTCCGACTCATAGTGACCCTGCACAGGGTTTCTGACGCCATAAATCTTTACAGGAGCAGAACGCCTCATCTTTCTCCCACAGAACAGCTGGTAGTTTTGAACTGCCGACCTTGAGGTTAGCAGCCCAATTCATAACCACTACACTACAAGGAGCTCTGGGAGCGTAGTGGTTACGAATCGGGCTGTGAACCATAAGGTCAGCAGTTCGAAACTACCAGCTG